CCAACAGCCAACATTGGCGGTAGCCATTTCTTGGGCACAAAGCGTCTGAATGGATTTAAGTCCTCGACAAACGCTGACTCATTCTTCGCGTCCAATATGCGATCAGGGTACGAGCCCGAACAATGGTGGAGTCGGTTAATAGGCACAGCGGCTACTGGAAGGAGCGCCCTTTTGTAAAGGGTCTATAGTATACAAACGGCATGCAGCTTAACTTGAGCTGTAAACGGCTGCATACCACAATTTGCATTTGACTCATAAGCCACGCTGACATCCAGTAATCCTAATGTTTTACCGGACGCATCGCAAAGGAAAGCAGTTTTGAAGCTTTCTCTAAGAACCTAAATGGTCTTGAACATACTGGCATAAACCCTTTGTTATATCTGCCAAAAAAGAACAAAAAAAGCGCGGTGTACAAAGTGGTTTCTACGAAGCTAGAACCTTATCACGGCGAAACACAGGGCGCCCAATCACCATCGTGTCGTGCACGCTGACTGCGTCATACGGTCGTTATGAGCTTAATGTCGTTGCGCTTTCACGATGATCGTTTCGTCCGACCATACGCACAACCGCAAGCGGGAGAGTTCTGCCCCGGTACTCTTTGGTGGCATCTAGAGCCACTAAAGAGGCCACATTCACGGATTCGCGCGAAGTAAACGGTCTGCGCATGCGCAGTGCCGAGAGGAACGCCGCCGGACTGGCACGGCGTCAGAGCCGAGCTTATCCAACAATATCCCCCCTCCCGAAAATTTTTTTTTTTTTTTGCGCACAGGTGGCGCGAAAAGGTAAGAGACTAAGAGGGAGGGGGTGATCACGCGTACGGCGAAACTCGGTGCTTGCTGCTGTTGTTTCTCTTTGCTGAGTAGCGAACACCTTTTCCGTGAGTTTGTTCGTTGTAGACATGTACGCGTCACAAGTAACGCTTTACTTATACCTGGTTGCTTCCTTCGGTAACGAGATAACGAATTAGTTACATTTTAAGAAAAGGAACGAGTAACCCATTTTCGTTACTTTCTGATGAAATCACGAGAAACTGTATTTACTTCTGGAGGGGAACGTGCACAACGCATGTAGCCGTCCTAGTTGTCACCCCAGCTCGCACCTATAGTAATTTACGCGACGAGAAAACGCTACATAGACCATAAAACGCTACATAAACCACAAAACGATGTGCACAATGGATGCAAGTATTGGCACAGTTATCACTGAAGTAGCGCCTTGAAAAACGAAGAATTATTGATGACGAAAAATATTGGAAGTGGCTACAACTTTACGATAACCAAAATATATTGGAAGTGGCTACAGCTTCACGATGATGACACGTTCAGTTACAAGGCAAATAACGCGTTACATTCAAGCCGAGGTAACGCGTTTTTTATAAACTGCGGAGGCGAGTGACGTACTTAGAGTCGGTGATAGGTTAGAAGTTCAGAGGAAGCTCCACCCACCTCTTTCCACTTTAGCAAAGCGGACGCTGGAGACGAGGCGACCTCCTCTCCAGTATTTGCTCTGTTAATGTGGAAAGATGGGAGGATCGAGCTTTCTCTGAACTCTGTAGGTACCAACTATGGTTACTTCTTCGGTGACTAATAAGTAGTGCTATTTAGTTACTCTATTTATGGGTAACGTGTACTTAGTATGGTTCGTTGTAGCGCGTCTGGTAGTTGTTAGTAGACAAAACCAACATATATACCCTTCGAGCTATTTCTGTATTTCTCAAATTCCGAGTCTTTGTTCGTAAGAAAAACCAGTGGATTTCCGACAGCCGTAGAAATGCTAAAACAGCCATAGTTACGACTAGCAGACAACGCCGAAGCAATAGGCCGCGCATTACGTCACCGCACCCTCTGCGCAAGACGCGGACGAACTTCCGCCTTTATGTCTACCCCCTATATCCTCCAATCAGAGCGCGGCGCCGACATATCGTTGTACCCTCTGCGCGGGAAGCAGACGAACTCACGCGCCCGTAGCCTGCAGCTCTGCTGGAAGTCACGCGCATGTACGCGATCGCAAGAGCCGAAGACGCCGTGTTAGATATCCCACGGATGATCTTTTACCGAACTCTTTCACGTATCATCAAAACGACCCAGTTCGATAATTTGTCAATAATATTCCCGAATTAATTTGAAACTGCGCAAAAAAGTAATGTCAGAGTAGTTTTAAGCCGAGATCACGCCGCCAATACATCGTATAGAAGACAGTCTGCAGAAACTGTTTCAGACGCGTTTATTGCTTGTATGTGTAACACTGGCCATACGAAAACGTCTGCATGCATGTTCCAAGTGCACATATGTAAATCAAAATCAAACATTCCTCGCGCATCCTTTAGGCGTACCCGCAAATGACATCATGTCTGCAGTGGAGTTAGGCTAGAGGAAGGGTTGAAACATCCGATCCCCGACAGACTGGAGAAACGGGACTTTTCGCTTCACCCACTTCACGTCTCTTAGGCTAAGCTCTGAGTTTGAGCCGAGTTTGGGACGATATCCTACTGTTACCTTTTTCCTTCGAGTCAAAAGTTTCTCAATTTTTCCGCGCCGCAGTCTCAAGTGTTACCTTATGATTGACTACAGCTGCTTTGATCTTTTTTACAGATAGCAATATAAAAGAGAAAAAAAAAAAAACAACAAGTTGTCTCACCATCAAGAAGAACATCAGTGGAACCATGATGCCGCGCACCAAACTCACAGTCTAAGCTTTCTTAAATACGGCGTCCCTCGCACTGGAAACTAAAACCTCCACCGACGCACACAGTGACAAAAGAAGAACGCGTGTCGGCGAGAAATCTCGGGAGCAACCTTCATATTTTTGGCGAGCCACAAAGACATCGTCTGCTACAGAAGTCCGACGTCCGCGCTGGGGGTGGGCTTCTATCGCGCATGCGCGAGAGCGTTCGATACCGCACCTTGCGCCATCTGGAAGGCATCAAGAGCAACCCTGTACGTTGTCTGAACCGGTGTTTTTGAAGTTGAACTACGCTTGCTCTTTTCTTTTTGCTCACTTCACGCGCCGCCAATATTTTTTTTTTTCCTTTTCTCTTGCTTATGACGACGCGATATGGAGAACAAAAGGACGAAAAGAGGAAAGAAAGATACCGGCTCCAATTTACGAGGGAGTGGTCAGCTCTTGTACGTTCTTCAAACTATATCCTAGTCAATAAAGCTCGCTCATTTTGATCTCGTTTAAAATTTATGAAGCGTTGATACCGCAGGGAATAGAAGACAAAAGGGCTTCGTGTCGTTCCCCCCCCCCCCCCTTCTTTTTTTAAATTTCTTACACGTATCGTTTATGAAAAGCGCGCAGCGTTGTTCACCGCTATTGACGACAGTCCGCCTTCGTGAAAAAGAGATCGCCCAGAGAGCCTTGATTTCAGAGAAGGGGCAACTCAAACCCTGTGAAGTGCGTTTGCCACTTAATGGCGGTCACCTCCTGAGCAGATCGGTCCCAAGTGCGCATGCGTTACGTTCTCACGTGACGAGGAAGAACGTAGTCGGAGACCCTTGCAGACGATCAACTCTTCCGCCACTTCCTCGAAAGGTCGTGTGGCAAAACGTGGTTCCGTGAACCGCGTGACCGCCATCGAGAAGTTGGCAACACTCTGAAATCTGGACGCACTGAGAGCGCCTCCGCGTTTATTAAAGGTTCATGCGATATCTTCTTTCCTCCTCCCCCCCTCCCCTTTCCACCCCCTATATATCGCGTAATGAAACCTGTCACGGGCAAATCTTGATTTCGTACGAGAAAAATGTTTCCACCACCCCGAGATCGACTCTTTCGAGGCCTGAGCTAAGGAATAATAGTAATAAGAATAATAATAAGAAGAATAGAATGAAATAATATCGAAGTACAAAATGGTCTTTGCCGGAAGAAATCAAATTGGATGCGAGTTTGGACTTTCTATCTTGTACGGGCGGTGCAACAGAAATGTTTTTTTTTTCTTTCTTTCTGCATAGCTTGATCGAAAATTTTCAAACCGAGCAACGAAACGAAAATGGGATCCCTCTTTAATTTTTGTTTCTGACGTGTCTTTTCTTGGTGTCCTATCTTTCCGGAGTTCGTTGTTTGATAGCTGTTATTTTTTTCTTCTCTTGTAACCCTTTCAGGGTTTTTACCATCGCGCCCTAGGAATTATGTCGAACCTTTCTCCGTTAGCGTTCTTATCATTTTGCACTCATAAATTTTACTTCATGAGAGCGCCGCCTTTCATAGCGAAATTATTTCCGTGTCTACTTCGTATAGGATAGAGTATAGGCTAATTGAATAGTTCTTATCTGGTGAGAGTCAGTACCTTAAGAAAAAAATAAGGGTATTCAAATTCAGCTGTCCCGGGGCAAATTTGACGAGAGTGCGATAGCACGAAGACGAATAGTATAGTGGCAAAATATTGCCCAATAAAACTGTCACACTTGAACAACCCTGAACCGTTTAGGAGATACATGTTGGTATGAACACTGACACCTTAGAGGACGCAGGACGTCGCTTGTTACGTTCATCGTTCTTTTGATCGTGATTCTATCTTTCTGCGTCCTTACTGGTTTGCGTCACAATCGAATTGGCCGTGCAGCGATGACAAGGTGCTGTCAGTAACTAAAAAAAAAGTCGGAAAAAAAATACAAAAAAAGACTTTCATATTAATTTTTGGAAACGCTAGGTGTTTCAAAAAAAAAAAAAAAAATCTTATGAAACTCAGCGTGTCTATTCTGTGCTTGTATTCTTCCTGGTACGACCACATGTTCCCTCGGAGTGTCATGTATACCCTTGGCCTCGTGTGCCCTCGCCTCGTGCTCATGCATACGGAGCATTCACTGGACGCCATATTTGAGGGCAATGTTTAGAGCGCATGCTCGGACCGAGCTCACGTTAATAGGCTGCTAAGGCCGGCAATCTTGGTGGTGCGGAATGCACGTGGCGAAAGAACTGCGGAAGCATGCCGCCAGCACGCGCTCAGCAGTCGCGCGCACAGCTATGGCCGCCCCTTCGAGCTCGTGCGCCCTCGTGCTCACCTGTCGTTCTAGCTTGCGTTGCCTGACGTCCGTCGGCGGGGACGGGGGTCTGGCGTCGTCCGCGCTCCCAGGGGGCGCTGCGGGCCATTCAGTGCTGCGAGAGACGGACACCTTTTGGTCAACGTGAGGATACTCCCTTCCTCTTCCGAGTGTTAAGGCCCGTTCACACTCTTGCGACCTCTTAAACCTGGGTTCCTTAAAACTTCTTAAACCGGAGAACACACTAACGCCATCTATTGGGAAGCAGTGTAAACTCGGCGGTCTGGCAGATCTTTTTTTTATTTCTCGCGCATTATCCTTTCTTTCTTGGCTCGAAAAACTTTTGTCAATGTTATAAACGAGCCTTTCTATGGGTATTACGCACATTTGACCTCGGAAATCCCGCAAAACCTTCGCTCTTGTGAAATGCAGTTCCAAGGTCACCGCATAGATGGCGCCACAATGCCAGTGTGTTCCCTCATTCTGAAAACATTTAAGAAGTTTTAAGAGATCTCGTCTCTCTCAGTCGTACTCGGTCGCAAGAGTGTGAACGGGCCTTCACGCGCAAGGATTGCGGCAACTTTTAGCGTGATGCACGCAAGTGCAAACATTCCGCCATGTTGGGCCGCCGCCGAGCGGCGTAACCACAGCAACCGCCGCTGGTGCTCTTCACGTGACCGAATGCAGCGCCGCCGCCACGCCACAGCGTCTGCGACTGTTGTCATGGTTACGCCGATCAGCAGCGCGACGTGATGGGACGCGGTTTTTGCTCACACGAGTTGCATGTTTTAGCTTTGAGCAAGCATTTGTACGAGTCACATGTTTTGGGTAGTAAGTTAGTCCCGGTAATTTAATTACTTTAGCCTAATGATTAACGGTAATTGATCCCTTCTGACTGCAAGCATTTGTTATTTAATGACCTTTCAGCAAAGAGAATCAGACAGACGGTAGATGTTTAGAGAGGGTGAATTTAATCTGTCGTATATTATTTGGAGAGGGTAGAGGGAGGACTTGGCAACGCTGTTTCCAGATGAAAACAAACAAACAAAAATCAAATTAGCCAGTGCAGTAGGATAACTAACGCAGGCGTGATGCTCATTCAGATTGAAACGGGCAGGGTTAGGGCTGGCATCCAGGATTCCTGGATTCTGCAACGCGAATTTTTTGTTCACGTGGTCCATTGTGTAGCGCGTTTAGATATTCGGCCACTGATTGCCCCCCCCCCCCCCCCCACACACACACACTACTTTCAGTATAAGAAGTCACGAAGTCTGAATTACAATCACAGCTAGTTTCGCAACGTTTCTTCGTCTCAATGTAAAAAAATAATAAAAAAATATTTGCCTTGTTACTTCGAATATAATGCCGACTGACGCAAAATACGTCGTATAGGCTCATGTCTCATTTCCTTACAAACCACCCAAAAGGCCTAAAGCGGGGTCAAACTGCTTGCACCCCTCATCATACAAAATACAGTCTGCAAACACATTCGAACGCGACTGACCGCGAGATCAGTGCTTCGAATGCTGCCTGACAAAATGTAGGCGTTACAAAAAAAAAAAAAAAAAAAGTGACGAAACACGTTGGTTTCCTCTTTTCATAGTAGTACAGGTATGCATAAACGCCATGTTTCAAGAAACGTTATGTTTTTTTTACGGTTTCACCTAAATACTCACGAGAAGAAAAAACAAAAAAACAAAACAAAGAAGAACTAAAAAAATATAACATGGCTTGACGCCTAAACACACGAAAACAATTGAAAAGCAATTTGTTTTAAGTCTTGGGAAGAGTAACGAGTAATCTAACTACGGTATTCCTACTGGAAAGAAGTAACGTAACGACGTTACTCGCTACTGTTTTGAAAAGGTAACGAGTATACTTTACCGAAAGAAGTAACGCCTTACCGGCAACGCCATTACTTATTGACTCGTTACCGCCAACACTGCTTGGCATGACAATGAGTTCAAGGAGGTAACATGGCGCGCGGCATTCGAACCACGGATATTGCGGTGGACTCGCGTTTGCAGACCTGTCTTTCGCGTGACGTGTGAGCAGCGTTACCCCGGCCTGACGGTTACAGCTCGCACTGTTCATACATCATACCAAAGAGACACGGAGTTTCTCCACGGACACACGATGGCAGAAATATCCGCGGACACGCCTCAGGCTTGTTCGAGGCATGCTTGCTTTATAGGAAACAAAAGAAAAGTCGGTTATGGCGGCGCCCACGCAGACCTGCTGCAAAGCGCCTATACCGCCGCCATGTTGCTGATGCTGATGCGGCTGGTGCGACTCTCGCGCCCTCTATCAGCTACAAATTTTCTGCCACTCTCTTGGACTGTGAAGACCCGCTCAGCGCGGTTCTCTACCTACGTTTTTGCGGTTTTGCATTCGACGTTTTCTCGCCCCTCTTGAAAGTTTCCACTTAATTCTTTTTTTATGCGTGCTGCGTACCCTTTCTGTGTTATCTTCCATTGTGAGAAATAAGGCTGGTAAGTGCCTGCCATTAAAGTTTTTTCTGCTTTACATTCACGGGAAACGAAGCAGGTGAAGAACGTCTAACGACCGTCGACGCGATTTTGCGAACATTGTTCTCCCCCTTCTTACAGATAATCTGCGTAAAATCCTAAGTCATCTCCAAAAATAGTCGTCCTGGTTGGGATGGGAAACGAGTCAGTCGCGTTCGTTCCTTTGCCTTTTTGCGGTTGTGAAAAAAAAGGAAGCTTCCCCCAAAACGTGCCCCAAAACAAAGTCATCTCGGATTCCGTCCGATCGTTGATGTGACTGTCGTCGACTGTGACTGTGTTATTTGAGATCTTTTTCAAATAAATTCTTTTCGGATAACGCCGCATCGTGTGGTACGTACGATATATTGTTCGAATGTTGACACTTCCTCAATTGTATGTCCGTGTCCTGTCCATCGGTAAACACGTTATTTGTGAGCGTGAAAAATGCATGCCTTTCGGCCCTCTTCTGTTCCAATTTATTTTTGTCAGCAAAGCGCTTTGTCGTTTCACACGCGGCGGATCCCGCGGCGCCGTCAAACCTTATCGTAAGAAAAAAAAAACTCAAATAACTAGGACTATACATTCCAGCCGCATTCGTTCTGTCGCGCCGTTTCCAACAAAAATAGATCAAAGTTTTTTTTTTTGGCTTTTTGTTGTTTTCAAATGTGGTACAATGCTTTCTCAATGTCCTCGGAAAAATGCATGTATCATGAAACACAAAATATAGCGGGAAAAGACGAGAATTTAGCCGCCAGCAGCGTTTGAAACTGCGCCTACGCAGGCTGCGCCTATTGAAATCACAGTCCTCTCGGTTAGGGTTAGGAGGGACGCCAGTAAGAGTCTAGCCTCAAACTCAGTGACTAGGCTCGAAAGCAGTTTGTTGCCCCTGGGGTCGAGTGTTTTTTTGGAAAGGTTTACCCAGCAATCATTTGAACTAGAGTTAGGCGTTCTGATGCCCCCTCGCGTTCTCGTTTCCTCCTCTCCCTCAGTTTCACGGCGCATTGTTTTGCACTTTCTTTACTTGCTCCAGATACCGGCTGTCCACTATCTCGATATGTTGCAGTCACACTACTGTGGAGACCAGTTAAAACGAAGTCAACGGGAATCGGAAATCACTTTGATAAATCCGCTATTTCGTTATAACCGACTTCCGTTAACGAAGTGCCAAAGGGAATGAGAAATCGTGATCGCTTCACTGTAGCCGCTATTTCGTTATAACCGACTTCGTTGTAACCGGTCTCGACAGTACTACATATGCGAAGAGAAATTCAGAGAGAGAGAGGGAGGAGGCAATATTTAAGTGTGCTCAGGTACACCAGAACACTGAGCTTTGATTGGAAGGATAGTGGGCTAGCTGTCTTCGTCTCACTGTTTCTTTCCAATCAGAGCGACTATGAGTGTCGTCTGCACTTCCTGCAGAGATTTGTGTTTGAACGCAGGAAACCGGCGTTCGGCGATCGACCGCGTTCGAAAAGTGAGCACAGAGACAAACGTAGCTGCAGCCTTTGCGTCTACCCACTATCCTTCCAATCACAGCTCAGCACTCTGGTACACCCCCCGCGCACTCTCGTTTCTCCATCACCTTGACTATCTCTCCATTTATAGCAGCTCATATTTAAAAAAAAATGTAAGCCACTATATATGTAGCGAGGGATAGAGCATCGGGATTGCCGAGTGAGAGTTGGTTGGTTCAATCTCCTGCCCAGGGACGAAGTTGGATTTGCAGAGACACTTTCTGGTTATGTTAGTCTGTTTCTCGGTACTATACAACCTCTCGCGGTGCTCTAAACTTAAAAGGCAGCGCTTAATTTCAATTTGCGTTTAATTATTCTTTAATTTATTGTTTATTAAAGAAAAGATACGCGTCGCGTGTCTGTCTGGTTGACCTACTACCTTTTGTAGGAAGAGGCAAAGACTTCGTCTGAGTGCCGAGTTGCCACAGTCAATACCACCTAGAAGGCGAGACTTGTAAGTGACGTCATATTTACTAAACCGCGGACCGTTCCCACAAGCGGCAAAGAGGCCGAAGGTCGACCAGCGTCGCCGCAAAGCGGCAGATGCGTTCGTCTTGGCGTCGCCGCGTTTTCCAGCGTCGTGCTCGCTGCGAGTCGCTGCCCGACGCGCTGGCGGCGACGCTGACGCGCGCTAGGCGGCGCTGTGCGGTACCACTAGCCATCATCATCATCATTAGTGATGACGTTGGGGGTGGGGGGGGGGGGGGCGGTGCAGGCCTTTCCTTCCATGTTTTTTTTTTTCAATATTATTATCCACAGCACACGCAGTGGGGCCCGAAAGATGTCTGGCCTGGAACGAGAGACCAGCCGTATTTTCTTGACAGGATGAAGAGATAAAACCGAAAAGATCTTGATTCACCGAGCAGAGTAAACTATAGTAAAACAAGAAACAAAAAATAAAAAAAAAACCGGGGCAATTGTAAAACGCCGTCTACAGTCCAGAACAGCACAGCTGACCATAGTCGTGGTCTTTCTTGCAGAGAACTGTTGGGCCGAAGATGAAAGTTTCAAATCGTTCGTAAAGGCGGAAACAACAAACAAAAAAACTTCCGTGCAAAAAACGAAAAGAAAAAGCACTCGGGAATTGCAGAGTCCCATCGGCAATTCCTCGGTTCCATAGCTACATCGAACAGCAGCAGCAGGGGCGGCGTCCAAGACGACACAACCAAGAACACAAAGGGAACACTCTTTGGAACGGAAGACAAAAACCTGCGTCATGAATAAAACAAGGGCAGGGGAGAAGTTGCGTCGGGGAAAAGAAAGAAAGTAACCATCCCATCGAGAGCTTTGCGAAAATGGCGAGCTGGAAATCGCTTTTATACGTGGGACCCTCTCTTGCGCGCGAGGGGCGATTGCTCGCACCGACGGTGCCAGGGAGGCGAGCGTGCAACGTACGCCATGCGTGACGGGGTGGAAGTGGAGTTCCGACATTACTCCTTGCTCTCGTTTTATGTACGGGGTATAGTTTCTTTTAGACCAAATGTGCGAAAGAAAAAAGAAAAACTGTCTTTCGAAACAAAGAAATGCTCCCTCGGGGATAATGCCATCGTCTTTATAGCCACTGGCGGTGGAGGACGTGGTGAATCTTCGAGCATCTCATCATTTCTCCCAGCCAATCAGATTGCGGCATTATCCAATAAGAGCGGCCAAGGACCAATCATAAACAAAGAAGCGCGAACGTCAAAAAAAAAAAAAAAAAAGCTACGCCCTGTGTTTCTTAAGTTTTCAGCCATTGTATAGAAATATGGTAATTCACAACTGAAG